CTGGGGAAGCAGGAGAGGGTCAGGAGCCCGAGGCTCCCACCCTGGCCTGACACAGACCTGCCCCGTGGCCTTGGCCGTGGGTCCGGCCCACTTCTGTGAGGGAAAGAGGTAGGTTCAGCAACCCCCAGGTTTCCTTCCAGCCTTGTAACACCAGGACCTTCTTGGCCGCAGCGCCGCCTCCTTCCCAGAACTGGTGGCAGGGCTGCCAAGGGGAGCCGGGCCACGGCAGGTTCGGAGTTGGCTTTGGGAAACCAGAGGAAGGGACTGCTTCCTGAAGGTACGGTCAGATCCAGGGGTGGACCCTCACAGGGAGACCAGCTGCGGGGGAGAGTCCTCTGCCTGGCGCATTTCTTTTTTGTTTTTCTTTTGAGTTGGAGTCTCACTTGGTCACCCGACTGGAGTGCCATGGCACTCTCTGGGCCACCGCAGCCTCGACCTGCTGGGCTCAGGCCATCCTTCCACCTCCACCTTCCAAGTAGCTGGAACTGCAGGCACATGCCACCCTGCCCGGCTAATTTTTTGATTTATTGTAGAGATGAGGTTGCCCGGGCTGGCCTCGAACCCGTGAGCTCAGGCCACCCTCTCACCTTGGCCTCTCAAAGTGCTAGAATTCTAGGCGTGAGCCACCACTCCCGGCCTATGGGGGGCATTTCTATACCACCACTTTGCGGGGCCTTGTCGTCCGTGTCATCCTCCATCTTATGTCTCCTGACCCTTACCCTCCCTGGGAGGTGCCCTGCCTGTTGGGGTGACAACGTTGGCTGTGGGGCCTGGTGTGCAGGCCCCTGGACGCGCAGAGCTTAGGCCCGCCCTTGTGTGTCTGACATTCATCCTGGGTGCTCCCGCCTGCCACTTGAATGCAGATAACCAGAGCTGGTCCTCAGAATGTTGGTGGACACCGGGGAATCACTCTGGGATTCACAGCCCAAACCGGCATCCGGCCCTTTGAATGGGACCAGTGAGTACCTCTGATTTCCAGCCAAGGTTGTCAGTGCAGGCGGCCGAACTGAAAGTTAATCTTAGAATGTGACAGGCCAGGATCCAGCTGTGAGGGGTGGCAGGAGGGAGCATGAGGCAGCGGGGACCACCATGTGGCCAGGGCCACAGTCGGGTGTCTGCTCTGGACTCCTGGGGCCTCGAGGCCCAGCAGGTGGGGCCCAGTTCTGCTGCCCAGCCACGCCACTGGTTCCTGGAAGCCTAGCTTCGACCCTCAGCAGAGCGTGACGTCGTCTGGTCAGAGGAAGGATGTGATTGTCAGGGCAGCTCTTGGCCACAGGCAGGGTGTGCCCCCTCGGGGGACGGGGCCCCTGGAGCCGTGTCTCGGGGACACGAGGGGATCCTAAGACAGTGACGCGGGCTTTACGGAGCCAGACCCGTCTGAGGCCGATCCCTGCCCCACCCACGCTCTCGGCTGGGCAGCCTGGCCCAGTGCTCAGCCCCTCTGGCCCGTCTCCTAATCCGCGAAGAAGACGCCGTGGCAGCGCCTGCCTGGCGGGACACGGCGAGGAGCAGCCGGTCCTCGAGGCCCACGGGAGGAGGATGGCGTGGCGGCGTGTACCAACCCACGCCGCCTTCATGGCCGCCTGTCACGCCGCTCAGGAGCCCAGCCTGGCCCCCCACGCCCCTCACGCCACACGCCCGCGCGCGTTCAGGCGCTGACACGTGCCCCCCACAGGAGCCGCAAGGACAGCCTGGAGAGTGACGGCTCCACAGCCCTCGTCCCCCACGAGCTGATCCGCACACGGCAGCTTGAGAGCGTGCACCTCAAGTTCAACCAGGAGTCGGGGGCCCTCATCCCTCTCTGCCTCAGGTGAGCCCCGGCCGCCTCAGCCCCGGCACCCGCTGGGCCACGGGGCGCAGACCCACCGCCACACGCTGGGGCCGAGCGACCTCCTCCTGGCCGGCCGGGAGCCGGCGGCGCTGCGTCTGCGTGTGGAGGGCCCTCCTGCAGCTCCTCTAGCCAAGAGCAGCGGTGACCAGAGCCGACTCCGGCCTGGCACGCCATGACAGCCCCCTCTCCACAGGTGTGAGTCAGAGCCCGCAGGCACGGTGCTGGGAGCACCGTGTCCAGAAATTGGGCCGCGGCTGCTCTGTCAGGAAGGCCCTGTGTTGTGCCAATTGGCCAGGGCACGGGTGCCTCTGCCCCCACGCAAAACGCGGGTCCCAGGGGCCAGGCTGGCAGGCTCCTTGAGGGACCGGGGCCCTCACTGTGTCCCTCGACGGGTCCACGGCTCCCGAACTCTGCCCTGCAGCTGGAACTCAGCTCTCTGCTTGGGAGGCTGTGGGGCTGAATCTGGGGTCGCCCCTCCCCAGGTCCTGTGGGGCCCCAGCCTCGCTCTGCTGGCCAGGGTGGCATCCAGGTCACTGAGCTTAGAGCAGTGGCAGGGAAGGCGGCTGGCATGGGGACCCTCCCCACTGTGCTCAGAGCCAGGGGAGCATGTTTGATGGTGACCAGCCCTGGGCACTGAGGACAGGACAGCATGCATTGAGATGAACAGGCCCCACAAGGCCCGCCAGGCCAGCTGTGCCCTGGCCAGGATGGCTTCAGGCTGGGGAGGGTGGGTTTGCAGCCACCCCGCGTGCCCTTCACGGGTACTCCTCTAGACAGGGTGCACGGTCCCCTCTTGTGGCGCCCCCAGCCACCTGCGTGGCTTCGGTGGATTCTGTAAGATGTGCTTGTGGTCTTTGGGATAGCCTGGGAGCAGGCACGAGCTTCTGCCCTAGATCCCATGAATTGCCCCCTGTGGCGGCCCATGCCATCGTCCCAGAGCCACTTCCACCCCACCGTGAGGCTGTGTCCTCCTCTCCCCTTGGGCCATGACCTTGGGCACTTGGTCATTTCCCTCTCTGGTCTTGGTTTCCCCCAGCATGTGGGGGCAGGGCTTCCGCCGCCTCTGCAGCCTTTGAGCTCTGAGCTCTTTGGAGGGATGGACCCGGGGATCTTGCACGAGACGCTGCGCTTTGAGGGTGCAAGACGGCACGCTGGGCGCAGTCCCCACACAGACAGGGGCGTCGGGGCTTGGCTGGACCCCTGCCTGATCCCTCACTGTCTTGTGTTCCCACGCCAGGGGCAGGCTCCTGCATGGACGGCACTTTACGTATAAAAGCATCACGGGTGACATGGCCATCACGTTTGTGTCTACGGGAGTGGAAGGCGCCTTTGCCACCGAGGAGCACCCCTATGCGGCTCACGGACCCTGGCTGCAAGTGAGGACGCTGTTTCTTCCCCACCTCTCTCCCGGCCCTGCCCTCGCCTGGGCTCCTGTGCTCCCCTCCCCAGGCCCGTCGTGACAGCCCTGGGTCAGGGCTGGGCCGTGTGTAGACAGGGAGGGGACGCTGCTGACCTCCCGGACAGGGGCGCGTCTGGCCTCCCCGTCACCCGAGACGCAAGTCACAGGCCCTGGGCGCCAGCCATCGGGTGGTTTCCTGTGGAAGTCCAGGTGTGGGGGACATAAGGTGTTCTGCACGCTGGGTAAACCGAGGTACAAGAAGGGGGGGAGCCGGGCAGGAGGGTGTAGGAGGCCACTTTTCCCACTGCATCCCCACAGTGGCACCCACCCCTGGGCTGGGGAGGCCTTGATGGCTCTCCTGTCCCCGCTGGAAACCCGGTTGTGTGAGCAGAACCCTGCTGGCCCGCCCCGACCTCACGTCCCTCCTCGGCTCCTCCGGCCAGGACAGGCTTCGGAGCCAGCCGAGTGGGGTGCTGGGCCCAGGAGCCACAGCCCCTTCCCACCCTGGGGGAAGCGCATGGGGGATGCGTCCTTGTTTGGCTGCTGTTCGCCCGTTGGGGGTGGGGGTGGAGTGAACCCTTGGCCTTCCCTCAGGAGCATTAAGGGAAGGAAGGTGTTGGCGCCCAGAAGGTGGCCGTGCCTGTCATGGTCTGCACGACACACCAAGGGCTGCAGGGTCTCAGGGGAGGGAAGGGCGGCTCTTGTGGGCTGGTCTGCGAAGTGTTGATGCTGTGACATGGGCATGCTGTGTGTGTGCGTGCGTGCGTGTGTGTACGTATGCTCCCACACAGAATCTCTTCTCCTTCAGGCTGGGTCCTCACCACCCCCAAAACCTTAACCCTTAGTTGAAACAAACAGCAGACAAAGGACACCAGCCACAATCCCCAGGCCAGGCCACGGGAGAGGGCAGTGGGTGTTTGAGGGCGATTCTGTCCCACAAATTACCTTCCTGTTCCACTATTGTGATTACATTGTTTCATAACAAAGTTACTTTGAACCATAAGGTTACAAATACTTTTTTTTTTTTTTTTT